CCGTGTTAGCCAGGATGCTCTCGATCTCCTGACCTCGTGATCCGCCCGCCTCGGCCAAGGTAGTTCTTTAGGACATGAGTCTGCCGTCTTCTCGGTTTGCTTGCTCCCCGAAATAAAGTGGTCTTCCTTGCCCCAACACCTTATTGCTTGACTTATTGACTGTTTTGCAGCAAGTGGTACAAGCTTTGGACTCGGTTACAAATGCGTGGAATTATGTAGAACAATAAATCATGTTTAGTCCCTGAGGAAGTATCAGTTTCATAGACTCTTACAGTAGTACAGAGATGGATCATTCTAACGTTCATAAACTCAACTGTGTTTGCAGATGAGGAGCATACATTAGGGAGAGGAGCAGGCTGGGTCATGACAGCAAGTGTGGTGGGGACTATGGGTGGGCATGCCCTGCAGTCAGTTTCAAATTCAAAATCAGTCTATGCCAGTATGGGCCCAGAGGCTGCCGGTTTTCTACCTTTAATCCAAATTCCACATTTTAAAGAAAAGAATGCCACTGATTGTTAATTAAGATGACTTGTGTAAGACTGCTCCTCGGCAGAACTGGCCCTCCACACTCAGGTTTTTCTATCCTGTGTTCCTTCCCTTTCTGCCATGATTTGCCCTTTCTACACCACGCTCTGTCATTTTGGAGGGGCAGCTTGATACAGTGGCTAGTCATGTGGTTTTGGGAGCCTGAATTTGAGTCTTGGACCTATTCCTACTCAGGGCATAAGCTTGACAGGTTGTTTAACCACCTTGGACCTAAATTCACTTATATTTAAAATGGGATGATATGGTTTGGCTGTGTCCCCACCCAAATCTCATCATGCATTGTAGCTCCCATAATTCCCATGTGTTGTGGGAGGGACCTGGTGGGAGATAATTGAATCATGGGGGCGGTTCCCCCATACTGTTCTCATGGTAGTGAATAAGTCTCACAAGATCTGCTGGTTTTATAAAGGGAAACCCCTTTTGCTTGGCTCTCATTGTCTCTTGTCTGCTGCCATGTAAGATGTGCCTTTCGCATTCTGCCATGATTGTTAGGCCTCCCCAACCACATGGAACTCTGTCCTTTAAACCTCGTTTTCTTTATAAATTATCCAGTCTCAGGTATTTCTTTATCAGCAGCATGAGAAAGGATTAATACATAGGAATAATAGCAATGGGGCATATAGAACTATAGAACTGTTGATAAGTATGAACTGAGTTAACACGTGCAAAGTGTTATGAACAGTGCCTGACACACAGTGAGTACTCAGAAAGTTCCAGTTATCCTTATTTTTACCTAGTCCTCGGAATAGTCCTTCTTAAGGATACCTGTGTTAGACAGTTTTCAATCATTGTTTGAAAGTCATGAAACCGTAAGACAGAAAATTCTGAAATTCATATTTCCTTTGAATTCAGCCTACCATCTCTTTAATTAGTCTGACTGTGATAGCTTCACTATGTGCTGATTTGGAGGCCAAAGTTTATCTTTTTAAATGATGTAGCTAATTTCAAACTGACTGGATATTCTCTTCTTTTTAAAATAGCAGATTATCTTTCTCCAGCCAGAACTTCCATCGGTTTGTGGGCAGATTGGAGAAGGGAGGTTGGGCACAGCAGGAGCAGGCTGGCCCAAGTTGCCTGTGGTACACCAGGGACATCCAATGCACCTGGGCATAACAGAGGCCCAGCTGCCCAGGCAGAAATTGCAAAATTTCTGGGGTTTCACCATGTTGGCTGGGCTGGTTTCGAACTCCTGACCTTAAGTGATCCGCCTGCCTCAGCCTCCCAAAGTGCTGGAATGACAGGTACGAGCCACCGCGGCCAGCCTAGCTGTAGGAAATTTTTAGTTGAGGAAATCTATTCCAACAACGATGGCTGGACTGAAATAGGTGTGAAACATACTTACAGGTTCTCCACTTGTCCCTGGCTGGTCTAACCACCTGTTAGTCCAATCAAGATAGGTCACCCAGCAGTAAAGCAGGGCTTCTGTGGCCCTCGTGATCATCCTCTGGTCTTTTAATCTCCATAACTATTCTAAGTAGACAGAGGACTACTTTCTTTGATACACTCTAATATAAGGTATAATCATAGGTAAATTAATCCCTTTTAAAAACACACAGCTAGAGCTCACATAGTCAGTGAATTTTATTCCCATTAAAGTAATGCCCTTGGGGGTAGTGTGCTTATTCCACCAATGCTGCTTTAATTAAATCTAGTTTACAATTTTCTGGGAACTATTTTCAAATGCAGTATCTGCAGTGGTGGTACTCTTCTAATTTAGAGGCTGGATTATTATTATTATTTTAAAAACATTATTTTGGCCGGGCACGGTGGCTCATGCCCGTAATCCTAGCCCTTTGGGAGGCCAAGGCGGGCAGATCACCTGAGGTCAGGAGTTTGAGACCAGCCTGACCAGCATGGATAAACCCCAGTTTCTACTAAAAAACACAAAATCAGCTGGGTGTGGTGGCGGATGCCTGTAATCTCAGCTACTTGGGAGGCTGAAGCAGGAGAATCACTTGAACCCCGGGAGGCAGAGGATGCCACTGCACTCCAGCCTGGGCAACAAGAGAGAAACTTTCTCTTGTTGTTTTGAGAAACTCCGTCTCAAAAACAAACAAACAAAGAAACCCCACATTATTTCCAGGCAAGTTTTGTCAGAAAGGTGTATGCTGCCAGGTTGGTAAATACTATTTTTGCAAAAATTGAGATTAAAAACTTGGCTATTGGGCCTGGCATGGTGGCTCACGCTGTAATCCCAGGACTTTGGGAGGCCAAGGCGGGCGAATCACTTGAGGTCAGGAATTCAAGATCAGCCTGGCCAACATGGTGAAACCCCGTCTATACTAAAAACACAAAAATTAGTCAGGCTTGGTGGCACATGCCTGTGGGCCCAGCTACTCAGGAGGCTGAGGCAGGAGAATTCCTTGAACCCCAGGAGGCGGAGGTTGCAGTGAGCCGAGATCGTACACTGTACTCCAGCCTGGATGACTGAGCGAGACTTTGTCTCAAAATAACCAAACAAATAAAAACAACAAAAAACTTGGCTGTGAGATTAAATTTCCTATGTTGTTTGTCAGCCCCTGAAACAATCCCTAGAAAGGAATTTAAAAAATACATTGAGTCACGGTCTATTAACATCATATATGTCTGTTAGCAACTTATTTGATAGACATCAATTTGGATATTTAAATTCTGTTGTACCTGTTAAACTCATCAGCGAATGTACTAACAAATCAACCAGCCCGCTAGCAAAAATTTCATTCATTTGTAGGCAAACTTTGGAGACTTTGCCTGGAACACGGAGGAAGTTTAGGAGGTTTCTGTCTGTGCATCTCCTGTTCCCACAGCACTCAATGGCACCCTTACATGCCACTTACTTCATCTGCAATGCACACACCTCCCCTTGCTCGCACCAGCTCAAAGGCTTCCTTTAGAAACCCCTTTGGGTACTGGACAACTCCATTCACACCCTGCAAAAGACCAGACCAAGAAGACCTATAATAATAGCATCAGCCTTTCAAAGTATACAAAAAGTTAGATCATCATTATCATCAATATCATGATAGTAACACTAGCAATTTTAACAACAGTCTATAGAACAGTTTTCACTACGGGTGAAAAGAGGAGTTATTACTCTACACCATGACTTCTGGAAAAAAGATGCAAACATTGATTATTTTCCGAGATTAGAAAACAGTAGAATAGAGGAATTTGGTGAGACTAACGAAAGAGTTCTTGGGACAATGTGGATGTTACTAAGCAGCTAAAAACGGCCAGGGTTTCCTCTTCTTAAGAATTTTAGGAGTTCAGTAGTTTCACCTGTCTGGTGGAAATGGAGGAGAGGGTTTTTAAAAGATCATTTGAAAGTCAGTGTCTTCTTTCTTTCAAGGAGACCAAGAGAACGAATTTAGAGACGGACACAGTAAACACTTAATTCATTTGGAATTCTCTAGAATGTATGAGTTAAAACTTTCTGATAATTGAAGATTCAGCTCCATTAATGTCTTAGATTCATGTACCCACTTGAATAGGTTCTGCAAAAAATCCTGCAATTGACTTGGCCACAGATGTGCTCAGCGTGTCTTTGAACTGCTCAATATACTGGTCTTTAGCTTGGCAGCAGTCTGCAAAAAACAAACCACAAAGTAAAACAAACACAGCATTTGAAAATGTGAGCCTGATATCTAGAAGCATGGGGAAAAACAGGAAAAAAAAGAAAAACAAAAACCCAGACAGGGTAAGTCAACCAGGGACTGGGAGTGAGGATATGCATTTCTGAAGGGGGAACATTCCCTCTGAACAACTTGTACTTTGGTTCAAGAAGGGAGATTAGGATAGCCATAAAGGCACAAACAAACCACTTCAGTTCTTTCCATCTGGGGAAAAAATGTCCCGAAGTGTCATTGAGCTGGTATAGACAGCTGTTTCACCTAAGGATGCCCATCCTCTAAAACGGGTGGATCTAATTCAAATGGAATTAGAGTGATTTAATTTATTTGAAAGTAACTCTATTTCCTTTCATTGCCATCTAATCTGATGTACAGTTTTAAAGCTACAAAGTGTCTTTGTCTTTAGAGTTAGTAAATATGTTTGTAGAACAATTAGAATTCAGTTTAAAGAGAAATGTTCGAGAGCCAAGTGGCTTCCATCTATCGCAGCCCTTGGCACTTGGTCCTGTGCTTGTTTTTAACAGACCTTTCTCCCATTAATCAGGAGGTTTTTGTGGGCAGGGACTATGCCTTGTTCATTTCTAAAATATCTGTGGCCAAACAAGCTGTTTGGTGCACTGTAGGTGGTGCTCAGTAAACGTTTAATGCATTAAGAAGAAAATATTAACAAATAGTAGAAATTATGGCTGGAGTGAGACATTGAGCAATTTTGCTTGAAGGTCTTTCTTTTTTTTTTTTTTTTTTTTAAGAGGTCTTTCTAATGGGGAAAAGCAGTAAAGTGCCCTTATTGAAGTGATCAGTCTTTAATTCATTACTTCTCCTTTTGGCTGCATCTTACTGCTGATAAACCCACCTGCTGAGTTTTAAATGTCAATAATCACTTTTATATTACTAGAAGACATATTTGTTTTCAAAACTTGCTTTCTTATTCTTCATGATGTCCTATCCATTTCACGTATTTCCAAGCTTATATTTGATTTTCTTTAAATGTATTAAACATATTCGTGTCATAGTCTAGCTGATAATTCTGTTATTTGAAATCCTTGCAGATCTTTTTCTTGATTGTAGAGTTTTGTGTATTGTATATTTATTTTTGACAAGGGGCAGTTTATTTTCCTTGGAATTTCATTTGTGAGAATTCTTTGAGACCCAGAATGAGGTAGATCCCTCCAGAGCCTATTTGAATTGGCAGCTTCCAAGCACGCAGGGCGTTAGAGTCTAAGAGTCCTTTAAATTTTAAGCTTGAGGAAATGAGCATTCACAAGGCAAAGCCTTGGAGAGTCAGCCTGCAGATGAAATTTCCGGTGGTGGTTCCTCCCAGTCCCTCCACTTCCATTCAGCACCAGAATCCTTGCAGGCCCTTTGGCCTGTGACAGGTAACGCGTTCTTGGTGGTGTTTTTAATTCTAGTTGACCTATGGATGAAGAGGTGGCCCCTTGGGGGCTCCAGCTTTGTGGCAGGGGAGGGTTTCCTACAAGATCCATTACTTTGGCTGGGCCCTGGACTTCGTCATCTCTTCCCTGCACTCCACAGAGCCATCAGCACGGAAGCTCACGGTTACCAGGTTCAACACATGCTCTCAGGGTCAAAGCTGCCTGCACTGCCCTAATGATCTCTATGCGTTTCTGAGAATTCGTGCTTTCTTGTATCCATGCTTTGAAGGGAATGTGTTTCATTTTATCCAGAATTTTTTAGTTGTTTTCCACTGGAGAAAAGCCAGTGCTATCATGGTACCAGTACCAGCTGTCCATCCAGCTCAGTTGTCTTAGTACTAACCATATCTACTTTCCCATCCTGCTTAAAGATACTAGAAACATTTCTGCCTTGCTTCACCAGCTGCAAGCCTCACCACACAGACACACAGGCATGAAATCCTGTGGATGGCAGAGGACGAGAGGAGAGTGGGAAGATTGCCCAACAGGCTTGCCCAAGCTCCAAAAGCCTACATCTGTGTGTCAAAATTGAAAGTGGGAATCACCAAGGAAGCAGGAAAGGTGAGAGAGAGAGAGAAAGAGAGAGAGAGAAATTCTTCTATTCTGGAATAACAAAGGTCCCAGATCAACTGTATCCATACATGACTGAACCTTCAGAATTTTTATCCACACCTGTTGTTTGGTTCTAAACAGCACCATGCAGTCTCTGAACTTAAACTTATATCCATAGATGACAGAAGGAGTGCAGAGAAAGATGTGGATGGGATGGAAAGCCCCAACCCAAGTGACAGTGAAAGCAGTCTGGGTCACCACCTTCCATCCCAGTGCTTGCCTGGAGGCATGGATGCAGTGCTGTCTCCACGGTGCTAGACAGAAGGAATAGAAACCTTCTGCAATCACCATCAAAACCAAATTTTATACCTCAGCTCTTCATTAAAAGTGAGGAAATGCTAGCTGGCCCCGAACATATTTTTAGGTTATGTGTGATATTCGGAAAAGTTTGATTGACAGAGGTACCTGATGTCTTTGGTTAGCTGGAGGTTGGAGGTTGAGGGTGTGAGAAAGGAAGTAATGACAAATATATCAAGCCCTCAAAGTATGTTTTTGGCATCACTTGTGTTGTTTTGATGAGAAGAATATAGTAGACAAATAAATTTATGCCTCTAGAGACAGAAATTTCCCGTTTTTATTGGGAAAGGGAAACAGCTTCAGATGACCCTAAAAGATGGTCTTATGTTCAAGAGACATAATTTGGAAATTTAACAAGCCCATTTGTAACTGGAGAAATCAAAGAGTGGAGTTTAAATTTGGGCAGAACCAAACCAAAAGGTTTTGCTTGAACCTGTGCTAGACCTTTCATGACGTTTTCCCTCTCTGCCCACATGCTCAGCGATGAGAGAGTCATCGACTGTGATGAGCTTTTTACTTTATTTCACACCAGCTGCATTGGCTCATTGCTGGAACCCCAGGTTAGGCCTCTTCTGCAGAGGCTTGGCAGGAGGAAAACCCCAAGCGGGTGAAGACAGGATGTTCTGTTGAATACTGCAACAGGATGGCGAAGGAAGAATTTATTCCAGCTGGTGGTACAGAAAGAGTTACGTTGAGTGAGGAGCCAAGAAAGAACTACAAGTTTTAAGAAAAACAAAACTTGTCTTTCAAAAGAAAAAGAATGACATGATCAGTACCAGGTTTGGAACATTGTGGGGGCAGTAGGTAATGAGGATTGCATCTCATCATGGTTTACATCTGAAACTCAGGGCCTGGAATGAACCCCTGGGGAGAAAAAACCCTGGGAGGTAGATGGAGTAGAACAAAGAAATATACCACATAAACATCTAGATTAGACTCGCAAAATGACCCCCCACCTCTGTTGGGAGAGATGACATATTTCTGAGAGGAGAAAAATCTCTACCATGGTTGGTGCCTCAATTCCTCTTAAGGTATTCCTATCAATAGGTTAAGAGGAATTGAGAACAAGCAACATCTATAGTCAAAGAACTGCACATGTTTGGATGCTTCTGTAAACATATATGAATATTCCAGTTTACAGCAAAGACTAAACCCTTCCCAGGTACTAAAGGCAGTGGAGGAGGCTGGGGTCCTTCTTTTGTATTCCAATCCTGTTCAAAGATTACATACATAGTCTTGTCTCTTGAAGATATGAGTTAAGAAAACAGCTGGCTGGACACGGTGACTCACGCATGTAATCCCAGCACTTTGGGAGGCCAAGGCAGGCGGATCTCCTGAAGTCAGGAGTTCGAGACCAGCCTGGCCAACATGGTGAAACCTGGTCTCTACTAAAAATATAAAGATACAAAAATTAGCTGGGCATCGTGGCAGGCACCTGTAATCCCCGCTACTTGGGAAGCTGAGGCAGGAGAATCGCTTGAATCCAGGAGGTGGAGGTTGCAGTCAGCCAAGATTGCGCCACTGCACTCCAGCCTGGGGGACAAGGGTGAGACTTCGTCTCAAAAGATAAATAAATAAATAAATAAGAAAGAAAACAGCTGACTTCAGATATGCCAAAGACAATAGTTCAGAGCAGAAATGTACGCCTGTCACTATCATTTAGCCTCTAGATGCCACTAGAGAGACCATGGACTTCTGGTATTGTCAAATTCGCTTAAGTAGTCCTATAGTAGGCCTTACAGTAGGCTTGTCTCTCTTCTATATGGAAAGAGGAACATATGGCAGGAAAAGAAGGAATGGCCACCTCTTGAGTGCTTCTGTCTACTAGGCTCTGTGCTGGTGGTTTTGCAGTCAGACCAGGGTCTGGGAGGTGCATCAAACTGATTTTAGTTCTTGTTGCCATACAGATACAATATTCAAATATGGCTTTACCAGGTATTGCTGTGGTCTGGTTTTCTCTACATAAACTCTCTATGCTTTATCTCATGAAGTGCTGCGATGGTGTTGGCAGCAGCCAGATAGTGCTGTCTCTGTTTTACAAATGAGAAAACTGAAGCAAAAGGGGAAGCTTTTGCTCATAGCCGAACCATGCCAGAGCTGAGAGTGGAATCCATCTCTTGACTTCATGCAACTCCTCAGTCCTGGCCTGCAGGACAGGAATGATTTTTCAGCTTGGGTTTATCTTGACGGCACATCAGTGTGGATGAGGATGGCTATAGGAATTGGGAGCACTGGTTTTGGAGTGAAAAGACCTGAGGTCAGATCTTAGCCCTCCAGTCTCCTCTGTGTGAATCTGGCTTTCCTCATGTTTAAAGTGAAGAGTTTGATTTATAACTTTATAGCTTTACATTTCCTTCTGGTTTTAAATTCCGTGAGCGTGACATCTTGTCTTGTTCCAGTACTTACTTTTTCATTTTCTTACCTCCATTTTGCTATTATGTCATCTGAATTTTAAGACGACGGTGAATTTTCTTCCTTTCAGAGCTGGTTTTTAAGACTTCTGTTTTGTATTTTTCCTCTCAACCCAGTGATTCATACTATTCCATTAAAAATCACTGGGCTGAAGCTTTTAGTTATTTCCTTCAGAGCTACTAAGGAGCAGCTATTCAAAAGGTTGCGATGACAAATAGGAGGCAGGGCTTGTTGATTAGCAAGGAACAGGTGATGTTTCCTGCCTCCTCTCCCTCCTATTAAGTATAGGTAAAGAATGCAAATAAAAATGTGATTGATAAATGGAAGTTCTCCTTTTGAGAAAGCCTTTGAAACTTTTGCCAGGGTTGTCAGCAGCCTGAAGGAAGGGCAGCCTTGTGTTTTGTTTGACAGATGCTCTCATTTTAGCTGGCAGTCCCTGGAGAACTTTTTGACTGGAGTTTTGAGATTCCCAAAAGCATTATTTTCCCTCCGTCCATTGGGATTGGTAAATAATCCCACCTATCTTGATTTCTTGGGTTTTCTTTTTTTTTTTTTTTTGACGGAGTCTTGCCTTGCCACCTAGGCTGGAGTGCAGTGGTGTGATCTCAATTCACTGCAACCTCTGCCTCCCAGGTTCAAGTGATTCTTGAACCTCAGCCTCCTGAGTAGCTGGGATTATAGGTGCACACCACCATGCCTGGCTAATTTTTGTATTTCTAGTAGAGACAGGGTTTCACCATGTTGGCCAGGCTGGTCTCAAACTCCCGACCTCAGGTGATCTGCCCGCCTCGACCTCCCAAAGTGCTGGGATTATAGCCGTGAGCTACACACCCCGCAGGGGTTTGCTCTTTCATGCAGGCTGGAGTGCAGTGGCATAATCATGAATCACTGCAGCCTCAAATTCCTCAGCTCAAGTAATCCTCCCACCTCAGCCTCCCGAGTATCTGGGACTACAGGCATGCCACCACATCAAGCTTGTTTCATTTTAAAATTGACACCAGAGCTATTGCTATTATAATAGAGCTAATAGAATGCCTTGAATCAAGTACCAGCTGATAGTCATTTTTTTAAGCTTGGCTCTGATAGCATGAGATGCTTTTCCTACATGGCCAGACAGATGGTCTGAGAGTGAAGTGATAGCAGACCTAAGTGTTGATTCAATGAGGAATAACTTGGTTTCTTTCCAGTGTTGTTTCCTCTGGCTTTTCCCTTTTCCATGTTTTCAAATTCAATTGTTCCTTCAGGGATAGGTGTGCTTTTATTCGTGCCCTTTCCAACATCCAACCCTCCACTGGCCCCTCTCTTGCCCAGTCGGACCTGGTGCACAGCTGCACTTCCTGATTGTTTGCACTGGAGAATCTCGACAGTGGCTTCCTCCCCAAGGGCCACGAAAAACATCTGGACACATTGTCTGCAAATGACAAAAGAAGGAGTGTGGCCAAACATGAACACGAGACAGCCCATTTAGGCCGCCATCAAGACAAGAGGGCTTCTTAGTTTTCCTCCCTCATTCTTCCCCCACTTAAGATGAAAACTGAATAATCTGCTTTGCAGAGATAATTTTTTCTTAGAATCAGCTATGTGGGCACTCTAACAAGGAAACTGATTTCAATGTTAGCCTGGAAACAACTTGCTCAAGGGTGCAGTGGGTAAGGGCATCTGAAAGAATAAGAATAATTAGGTATCTGATTCTGATGCTGAAAAGGTGGGTATAGTAAGTGGGAACAGAAGGTGAGTACAGTGATGACTTCATAGAAATTTTGTGCATTCAAGATTCTCAGAGCTTTGCAGTTTACTTGATTTTATTTAAAAGCAAAATAAATTTTAAAACCCTGTCATTAATTATTACTCAGATTCGGAAGGCCTTTCTAATGGTGTCCTCAAGTGGTCTCCAATTCAATTAGGTCAAATTGAGCCCCTGATTAATGACAGGCTTTATATTAGTTTCTAATCCTTATACCAGGAAAACCTGATCAACTACTTCACATACCCAGCAGTCTTTAAAGAAACAAGAGAAAAATCTCCAAACTCACTGGTTGGCAACCTGTCCCACCAGGGAGTTCCATCTTGTAGGTCCCTACATTTGTCAAGCCAAGTGTGTAAGGACTGCATCCATGGTAGGCTCCTCTGCAGAGAAGAAACAACAGGAGGATTGAGTCAAGTTCCTGGTCCACTGAGTAGGACAAAAGAGAAAATCCAGGAAGGTCATGAAGATGAAATAGAACATCATTCACATCCACCTCTGATTTCTAAGAACACATCTAAACCTACGTCAGGTGAATGTACTTAATAGTCTTTTCTAGTTGTTGTTAGAAAACATAGATTTGAAACTGTGAAAGGAATTTTGGAGAACATTTGTCCAAGACCTCCAATCTTAGGACCTGCCCTACTCTATTACTCCATCATAATGAGAATCATCTTTTAGCAACATACCAGAAATTATATGTTCAATGAATACCAGTCTTCGAAGTAGTCGCCTTGGGAAGCCAAATATTTTTTCCTGTGATATACCTGTTGTTCAATATCTTTAGGGACTTACACACCTTATGAATTACCTTATTCTCCATCTAAGAAACATAGGTTTTGTATCTTTTGAACCTGAAACAGTTATGTTTAGTATAAATGCTCCTGATCATCAGTGTCAGCTTCAAATGAGTTTTAACAATTTTCCATACCAAAATCACTTTTAAACAAGGATTTTGGACTATTAAGACTATTCAAAAGAATGGTTGTATTAGGTCAGTGCAAAAGTAATTGTGGTTTTTGCCATTACTTCTAATGGCAGAAATCTCAATCACTTTTGCACTGACCTAATATATCTTGAAAAAGGAGACACAATGTGTGTTGAACCCTGGTAGCACTGTGACTACTTAATACTTACCTGGACATACACATTCTGGAATGTTATTTCGGTAATACATTAATCACAATTCTTTATTGCCATATTCCTGATTCCTGTAATAACTGCATGCTCATTTGATATGGAATGTGCAGTATTGAATGTGCTATCATAAGGATTAAATAAAATCTTCTTTTGAATTCACACAGAAATTATGACCAGACAGGTTAAAAATGCCACTGTTTCTTCATTCCATCAACTTTTACCGTAAGTCATTCCTATCTTTTACATTAACTTTCAGGAGTCTGTTTAAATGTGCTGTGTACGATTACCCAAGGAAGGTAACTGTGAGCAAAATGCTTAGTTTTCTATTATTTTTAGTTCTAATATAGCCATTAAGGGTTTATTAATTAATCTGTTATCAGTGCTCAAAAGTAAATGGAAGAAGCAGAAATATACAGGGTTACATGTGCATCCTCTGAACTTAAGGAGAATAAAGGGTGAAAAACGGGTGCAGCTAGCCCTATGAAATAAGCGGACAGCTCCTTATCATAAGCAGAAATTAAAACGGGCTAGTATTTTTTGGTAGAGCCTTGATCTTCTAAGGTGGGGAACAGTCCTTTACTGCTTGATATACGGTGTGGTCCCTGCCACACCTTCAAAGTTAAAAAACTGTCATGTGGGTTTTTCTTTAATTCCATAGGAGGATCTATGACATAATGAGGACTTCAAGCTGTTTGTGACCAGTTGGGGCCCCCTCTCTTGTATAAGGCTAACTTGAATGCAGTTATCCTGTTATAAAATTCAATTGACCAATCCTTCCTTAAAACTTAACAATTAGAACAATATTCCCGAGAAAACCTCTCTCCCACTCCATGCTAATGTAAAGATACACATTAAGAATGGGGGTAAGTCAGTGTTCCTAAGGTTGAATATTCCAAGTGGTGATTACCTGAAAGAAATGATGTCTATGTTGTTTGAGTGCGCCCTGGCCATCAGCATGGCCAGCTCATTGGCTTCTGAGCCACTGTTCACCAAGAAAATGACCTAGAGAGGAAAGGAAGACATGTGGCCTCATAATTTATTTCCTTATTACCCATTCATTTAAAATTGCTGAAGGGCATGTGTCCAGCCCCTGAGTATTAAGGAGAGTTCCCTTCATATCAGCTTGGATTACCCAGCAGTTCCATCATTTAACCACATATGGATTTCATAGCCCTTCCTCCAGTAGCCGCTAAGTGCTAGACGTACAAAAATGGCTAAGAGATTGTCTCCGCTGTGGAACATTCCGGGCTTTCATTGGCTTTATTTGATGGTCTGCAAAATGCCAAGAGAGGAGACTTGCTGAGGGGCACACAGCAGTGAGTAGCTGATAGATTCAAAGATTGGATTTCTTGGCTCCTGACCCTAACCCACTCACCTGATTCTAAAGGCTTGGAACAAGACAGGACCTCTGACCCTACAACTCCAGGGGTTGTCCCAGCCTGACTGTGCTGTGTGTGTGAATGTTGAAAAAACAAGTAAACAAGCCGGGTGTGGTGGCTCAGGCCTATAATCCCAGCATTCTGGGAGGTTGAGGCGGGCAGATCACTGGAGGTCAGGAGTTTGAGACCAGCCTGGCCAGCATGGTGAAACTCCATCTCTAGTAAAAATACAAAAATTAGCCAGGTGTGGTGGCAGGCACCTGTAATCCCAGCTACTTGGGAGGCTGAGGCAGGAGAATCGCTTGAACCCGGGAGGCAGAGGTTGCAGTGAGCCGAGATTGCACTATTGCACTCCAGCCTAGGTGACAGAGTGAGATTCCGTCTCAAAAAAAAAAAAGAGAAAAAACAAGTAAACAAAAAATGCAGCTCAGCCTGGATGAAAGAACGGGGAGAATGAAAGCGAACTGTGCCCTCCAGACTCAGGGACTGGAAGACATGTGTTCGTGACTCTGCTGACTCTCTGCTTCTGCTCTTCCGTGAACATCTGGGGCTGAACTGAGGTTGCAGTTCTTCCAAATTTCTTCATCTATTCCAGGTAATGTAGACAACATGGTAAAATAATAATAGCTAACACTCGAGACTAAGCGCTGTTCTAGGTTCTTCATATGTATGAACTCATTTAATACCTAAATGCAAATCTTGGTCAACATTTTAACATCTCAGTTCAATTTAAAATATCAGTCATTTCAGATGCAGAAAAACAGCTCATGTAGAAAAAAATATCTAAGTGTATTTTGGACCAAATGAACCAAATAGCATTTATTTAAAATAGTTTCACTCTTTGTAAAAGAAATGCAAATAACTTTGCAGAAAGGCTAAGGAGCAATGAGATAAAAACCTCTTGAGGACATAGATGAGAACATCAGCAGGCCTATGGCTCCCGGGAAATGATTTCTGCAAAGATATGGCGAGGAGAGCAAGCAAAGAGAGACAGAGGCTCAGAGGTGACACAAGGGAACACTGGCTTGTTTCACCAGCAATTCATAAATTCCCTTCTGTCTGATTGCTTTCAGATGTAGCCATCAGATCACCACTACAGATGTTCAATGCATAGACTAGATTTCCTGCCCATGTTCCTGCTTCCTGGGGCAGCTCCCCTGGAATCATAAGACTCCTGTCCCTTTGAGCTGGGAGCATCGTACCTTTTTTTCTCCCCATAAAATTCAGCTCCTGTAGGAAGAGCATTGTACCTTAAGAGGCTCAGGAAGAAGTGCGGCAAGCTTCTCTGCATATTCGTGCATTGGAGGGTGGAAGAAGACAGTGCTTGTATGCCACAGGCGGCCGAGTTGCTTTTGTGCCACTGCGTTCACTTTCCTGGATAAGCAGTAGAGCAGTTACCTGCACTGCGTGTCACGCCCCTCCTGCACACACACTGGCCATTGGACCCGAACGTACTGTTTTTTCTCAAAGAGTTTCAAGAGGCAGATTTTATTTACATGTGAGAATAAACTCCTTTAACCACTACGGGTGTCCAGAAATGGGTCGTGTTGCCTCAAAAGGTAATGAATTCCTCTCCAAGAACAGGGTTCAAAAGAAGACTCAATGATTACAGGGATTTTAGAAAAGAAATACCTAGTTTAGGAGGAAGTTTGGGTTTAGAATTCCTTCTAACTATGCTTTCTTATTAGCCATCCTTTGAAGAGTTTGGAAAAAAAGATGACTAGTTGTAAGCCTGAGTCCTTTCCATTTTGTTTTTCTAAAGAAGAATAGATACATCAAGCACACGTATGCAAGATCAATAGTTCTTCCCTCCCTTCCTTCCTTCCTCTCTTTCTCCCTTCCTCCCCTCCTTCTTTCTTTCTTAAGGGATGAGTTCTCACTATGTTGCCTAGGCTGGAGTGTGGCGGCTATTCACAGGCACAATCATAGTGCACTGCAATCTCCAATTCCTGGGCTCAAGAGATCCTCCTGTCTCAATCTCCCAAGTAGCTGGGACTACAGGTGCATGCTACCACGTCCGACTAAGATTAATAGTTTTTCTGCAGGGAGATTCTAATATCTGAGTCTGAACAGGGGTTAGTGTGGATGAACATTTTGTAACTATAAAGCCACATTCTTTGAAGGATTGGGCCAACCTTACAGGATTAGAAGTTTCATACTGAGAGATAATAGGGACTAAGGATGATAGATTTGTGGAACCTGACTTAGCTTTGAAAACACAAGCCAAGATGTCTGAACTTGCTGTAAAGGACATTAATTGCTAAAGTTTGTTACATACCAATTTTATTTGTTTTTTTTTTTTTAATTAATTTATTATTATTATACTTTAAGTTGTAGGGTACATGTGCATAACGTGCAGGTTTGTTACATATGTATACTTGTGCCATGTTGGTGTGCTTATTTGTTATTAATATCTTTCACATCAGAAAAAATCAATCCAGTGGGTAAATATTTTGAGAAATATCAGATTATACAGATGTCTTTACTATAGGACATTTAGTACCTATAATAGACTAGTGTACACTGTTTCTCTTCAGAAAGGAGAAATAGTTTAAAGTGTTTCCCAAACTTATTTTCTCATGGGACCCTTTTCCACGAAAACTCCTGTGATCAATGTTCCATGAAACTCACTTTAGAAAATTGTGGAGTATCAGTAAATTCTTGAAAAGAAGAGACACTTGACAAAAACATTGTTTAGTAAAATAAATGAAAGCCACAGGAGGGGTAAAATAGATGGCTTCCCATTTCCAGGGAAGACTGTCAATGTTATTGGGAAGATTCAATGAGAATGTTTGAACTTATTTTCTATTCCATTTTCTCTACTTCTTTTGTGTATATTTGTCCTACGTTTGAAATTGCATCTGACATTTATTTTGGATACTTCTCGTGACTTTGCATGGGACTAGGGCCTCCTGATCATGAAAGAGGGTAGGAGAAGTGAAGGGGAGGAAAAGATAAGGGCTGGAACCCTGAGGCGCACTCACTTCTCACCTCCTGACAGCTGTGTGAGGGGGAACTCTTGGCCTCCTGCTTTGATGGAAGGTCCCACACCTATTCAGTTTGTTTTAGACTTGCTGCTTTATTGCTTTCCCCTAACTTAGTGTGAGGTTGCATTGGTCAGATTATTAAAGGAAAGAGAGAACAAACATGAAATGAGAGCACTGCATGGAAACCAAGAATGCTCCAAGGATATCTGTGTGGGCGAGTGTACCGTCATCACTGCAGATAATCTCTAGATTAATTGATCCATACATTTCCAGGTAAATTTCCAGCTAGAATTGCATATGTCTCTTATCATTCTTCTCTTCCTCTTCCATCTCTCAGAGGCCATGAGAAAAATTCCCCAGGCTAGAAGCTATTTCTCATCTCTCATCATCCCTCGCCTGACAAGCCTGTCATGTGTTTCTCTGAGAGCCGCCTGCCTTTCCCTTCCCTTCCTTTCCCTGAATGCACCCCTGTCTTTGGAAAGCTGTTGCTAATGAGAAACACACAGCAAGACTCCAGTCATGTGGTACATGCCACACTACATGTGACATGAGAATAACAAAATCTTGCATTGTCAAGAAAAGGAAAAGAAGAGTGTCAAGATTTTGTACTCAGGAAATAGCAGGGAGTATGTCAGCCACAATCTGTCATAGATATTTTTTAACCAAGATAAGCAAATCAAGAGTTTGGAATCACTAGCATAATTGTTTTCCATGCATTCTTTTGCAACAAAAATCCCCAGATTTTAAGGATACTCACGGGTGGCAGTGGCCAACACTGACAGTAACAATCCCGGAAAAGAAATCCAGGTATCTGTTTCCCTCAGCATCAAAGAGCCACTCCATGTGCCCCTGATGGAGCAGCAGGGGTTTCTGGAAATACGCCGTCACCACAGGAGAAAGGTGTTCCTTGTGGATTTCCAGGACACGATTGTAGCCAAGGGACTGTAGATAAACAAAATTTAAACCCACACACTTCTTAGAAGGTCAATGGTAGCCAATCTATGAGTAATAGTGCCCAGTCTCTCTAGTGGATGGAGCAGAGGGCTGCTAGCCTGTAGAGGCTCAAAAGTGGGTGTACTTACCCAGTATCATCCTTGCAAGAAATTAAAGCCTTTTCTTTTAAGGAAGTGAATTATTATTTGTAGGCTTTCAATCTCTTTCTAGAAAAGGGCTGGAATTTCTACCTATCAATGAAAAGCCTTGGCTTTGAGTTGATTTTAACTATGAAAAAAATAGACTTTGGAAGTAAATATCTGAACTAATAAGCAATTAGTCTGAACTAATAAGTCATTTTTGTTGTGGTAGTGTTTTAAAAAATAAAAATGCAATGAAGTGCTAGTCATGTTTGTATCTTTAATTATAAAGTATCTCTCCTGTATTTCTCTTCTTTGTGGATCCCTCATGAGTACCTATTGATTCTACAATTTCTATCCTGTAAGTATCATGTAGAATAAAGGAGTTGCTGTGTGTGTGTGCGCATGCACAGGTACATGCATGAGAGAGAGAGAGAGAGAGAAAGAAAGAAAGAAAGAAGGAAAGAAAGAAAGAAAGAAAGAAAGAAAGAAAGAAAGAAACAGAAAGAAAGAAAGAGAGAGAAAGTGAGAGAGAAAATGCCAGCTCAATCTTTATTAGCCTGAGAACAAAAATATAACTTTAATTTTGGCTGGAGGGCTCAGGAAGGTCAGATGGCCACATGAGTCAGTTAAAACAGGAGTAACATTTACTTTAAAGCCAATGTGTGCCATCACATTTGTGATGTGTGTGTATCTCCCTGAAATGCATATATTAATTATAATGTATAGTGTGTTTCATGTACTGTCTTTGCCTCTGTCTCTGTCTGTATCTCTCACACATGGACACCAATTTATATACTAGCATTAAGGGAGTAAGAGGGTTTCGGATGCTTCCAATGACTTAGAGGTACAATATCTGGAATGAGATAGATTAGTGGCAAGCAGGGCTATTTTTGTGTCATTCTTAAGGAAACAATCAATTGAGACCTCCCCAGAGAAACTACCTCTTTGAGTGTTCTTAAAGCCCTGAATCTTACCTGGTATCTTTCAGGTGTGAAGTCACATGGAGGCATTCTGGGCCTTGTATGAAGACTGAGCTTGGTTACTGATGTCCAGGAAGCACCTACCGAAAGTGAAGTGAGTTAGAATCCTCAACTAAGCATGACATAGGTCTGTTGGTGAAAGTCACCTGTAGTTATCCAAATAAAACTGCTTAGACAATTTTGTTTATTTCTTAGTTAAAAAATCATGTAAATCAGCTTTTAGTTTGGATTTAAAAACTGAGTATCTCAATAATGAGTTTTCTGGAGGAAAAAAAAGATAGTTCTTCTCAAATGTAGTCTGGAAAAACAATCTACTGCAGTCCCTCGCAAGTTTGGGAAGCTCAGTTTAGGCCAACTGTCCGTGTTACCCTCACCATGCTGATTCTCTCATCAGTAGACAAAACTTCTGCCAGTGTGATGTGTTGTTGGAGTCCATCCTCTGTTAATAGAGGTGCTTTTTAGGCTTCAAGCTGCCTAGTGCCTGAATTCTAGTGTTTAGTCAGTGCCTGGTACCTGGTTAGCTGTCAGTACACATGGAATTAATGACTGTTGACTATTCGTGTAGGGAACGAGGAGAGAGGCAAGTGTTAGACAATACATTAGACTAATAAACACAGGCAAATAGACCCAGAAGACAAAACCTCCCCCACTCCAAAAAAAACTGCCAACACAGGACTGTGACAAAACAGGGATAAGCTGAACCAGATTCATTAAATATTTGGAGCTAGGAGGGACCTTACATTTGTGTGTGAGTGTGTGTGTGTGTGTGTGTCAAAATGCATACTTTATAGATAAGGAAACCAGCGTAAAGTGGTAAATTAATCTGTTTAAGGCTATCAAGCTAGTTAGGTGAAGAACAAGAACAAAACTCCTCTGACTTCTAGCCCCGTGGTCTGTTTTGCTCATTCCTCAGCCATTTCCACCCTTCCCTGGCAGCACAGATTTTGGCCCCTCTGCAGCAGTGGGATGGAATAATGGAATCAGAACGTTAGAGCTGGAAGAAGTTTCTGGAGAACTTATAAGTACTCCTAGGAAAGATGCTCCTAATTTTGAAGACTAAAGGTCAACATTAAGATAATTTTACAGGTGGAGAGAGCTGAGGAAATTATGTCTCTTTCTCAGCATGAAGGTTTGAATGCAAGAAAGAAATGTTAGTGTTTTGTGTGGCTATGAAGTCACAGTCCTGAGAAACATAATGAACAATTGTATTTTTAAATGAAGATGGAAAGTAACAGCTCTGACTATACCTTCTTTCAAAGAGACCCCATTCACTTTTCTGCTCTAAGTAATCACTAATGTCATTAATTTGCTCTTACTTTAAAAGCAAGTGACTTTTGATTTTCCATGCATAGAAAGGACCAAAAAATTCGATAGCTTCAGTTTTCTGAGAATTTCACTTTTTAAAAAGCTTTTCATTGTGTCTCTCTGCATTAGTTATGCTTCTGAGATGGAACAAAAATTCTAAGTATTTCTAAGAATTCAAAAATCCTTTCGTTTCTTCAGTCTCATTTTTCTGTCTGCAAAATTGGAGTTGCCCATTGAGGAGGTTGTAGATTCTCTTGACTCCAGGGTTATAGGATTTACGAAAGTAGGCTAGAGGGGGAAGGGAGTTGGAGAGAAAGACTTGATAAGGAAAAGCTTGAATTTTAAAGTCAAGGCAGGTTTATTTATTCATTTATTCACAGAAGTGATAAGCATATGATGGTGGAGTGAGGGCTTCAAATGAAATACATGAAATTCTGCAAGGAAGAAAGAAGAGGAAGAAAGAGAAGAAGGGAGAAAGGAAGAAGAAAGAGGAAGGAAGAAATAGAGACAGATAGTAACGAGCAAGTAGGAGAAATATAATAGGAGTCAGTAAGTGAAATAAATCTGGATAATACCTCCAAATCTATTGACTGTCATATCACCCCTCTTAATAAATAACTAAAACTCAAAAATAATAGTAATAATGTTGATATTTGATGGACAGAAAGAAATAAAACTGTTTTGGTTTTTATTATTTGCCAGAAAAAAATTAAAATCTAGTTATCTAGATAATTGCATGCATTCTTTATTCAAAATAGCCCGGATTTTGAGGATGATGTAAGAGTTGAGGGTTCATAAAGCTTTTTGGGGGCTCCTGGAGATTGTGTATGTGTGTATATGCATATGCATACCTGTGTGTGTGTGTGTGTGAGAGAGAGAGAGAGAGATGGAGGTAGAGGGGAAGGAATGAATGAGATTAAGATTAATAAAACTATATCCAAGGTCTATTTGTGAGTAGGTATTTGTTTTGTTTTGTTTTGTCTTATTGTTTTAACTAATCGGATAGTGTCTTTTTAGGCTAAACAGATGACAGCTAATGATTTTCATCCAATTCACCAATTTTCACTTCAATTCACATGAGCAACTCAAGACATTGAAAGATGGAATTCAATTTGGAGAACAGCATCGCTTTTGCATAATAAATGCCAAGTGGGTAACTAGCAAGCTTTCATTTCCCAGCTGCCCAATTCTCACAGAGTTCTATAGCTTACAGGTCACCGTAACTTTGTTTTCTTTCCCCAAAATCATGATGTCAAATGACAAAAACTGTTGGGCAAAGTAAGTGAGAAAAATCAATTTTTTTTGGCATTTGGAAACTCTTGGGAAAATTCTCTTTGTAATGATAAAGAGTTTTTCAGTATTTATAGCCAGTTTTCAGCCCAGAGGGAGTATTTATTAAGGGCTTCCTCACCTTTTAAAATGAAAAAAAGTTTGTAAAATATTTGAAAATATGCAGTGGACACAGTGTGATTTATTAAAATGCTAATTATTATTATTATTATTGAGACAGAGTCTGGCTCTGTTGCCCAATGCTCATATAATGTGCTAAAATAACAACATGCTATCTCAGCTGCGATAATTTAAAAAATCAAAGGAAAGCATTCAAAATAAAGTATGGCTTTAATTTACAGATGCCCGGGGATGATTTCTTTTTTTCCTTTTTTGAGACAAGGTCTCCCTCTGTCAAACAGGCTGGAGTACAGTGGTGTGATCATGGCTTACTGTAGCCTCGACATCCCAGGCTCAAACAATTCTCCCACCTCAGCTTCTTGAGTAGCCGGAACCATAAGCACTTGCCACCATGCCCAGCTATTTTCCTTTTTCTACTTTTAATAGACTTGGGGTCTTACATGGAGTGCAGTGGTGGAATCTCTGCTCATTGCAACCTGTACCTCCCAGGCTCAAGCAGTCCTCCTATCTCAGCCTCCCTAGTAGCTGGGACCACAGGTGCATGCCACCACACCCGGCTAATGTTTTGTATTTTTAGTAGAGACCGGGTTTCTCCAGGTTGCCCAGGCTGGTCTCGAACTCCTGAGCTCAAGTCATCTGTCTGCCTTGACCTCCGGAAGTGTTGTGATTACAGGCATGAACCACTGAGTCTGGCCCCAAATGCTAATTCTATCTCATTTCTGTATAGCATCTTAGGTAACTTGAAAAAAACCTTGTCACATTTGGAATCTCATTTAATACTTAGGATAGCCAACGAGTTAGAAAAGGAAGACTTCATCCTCCATCCACCTTAGAGTGGAGTCAGTGACAGATGGAATTTGACGCCTTGGCAGTTTTGAAGTCCCTCACTAAGGTCGAGGGTTTGAGACACCGCCTCCCATGGAGGCCTGCTGAAGCTGTGTTGGTGTTTGGATGCCTGAATGACAGTGTCTGGTCGGCAGAGAAACTTTTTCTCCTCTGCTTCCCTGTCCTGGAGCTGCCAGCTTGGAGACTGCAGAGTGGTCCTTTTTCCTTCACTCATGGGACTGCAGTCTGCAGGACACTGCCGAGGACCCTCGTCATTGCTGTTGGGTATCATCCAGCTCAGGACATGATCTCTCGCAGCCCTCTCTGTGGAGGTCCCCTCTGTCCCGTGCGTGCTCTGGGTGAAAGGATGACGGTGACGAATGCCAGGTGCCTGCATCCCCCCAGCAAAGCTGCTAAGAGGCGGTTCCTACCAGATTTTACTCTACTCCTGCCTGGCCTTCCTTGGTTTCTTTGCGTGTGGGGTCCTGTCCACCTCCTCAGCCTCCTGTCGATTCTTTCAGCCGCCCTCCCTCCTTGCCTCCATTCCTTCATACCCTTCCAGTATATGCCCTTTTGCTGAAGCCAAACAGGGGCAGTTGTGTCTGTCCACAAGCGAGAGCGCTGCTCGATTCCTGATTCTGAGGTGAGTGGGTCTTCCTTCTGCATGTTTGGGAGTAGTCATTCTCTGTGATCACCCTCCCTGGCCCTTGGCATGTGTTAAATCAATTCTGACTGTGGCAAGGCTGCCTGGAGGGGTGCACATGGGAGGCCCCCCTTTAGGGTAAATTTTGAATGTTTTCTTAAAATAGCCTTGGCAGGAATGGAGAAACATCTCAGCTAGAAATGGATTACTTTTTGTGCCCCCCTTCCTTTGTGGGAGAGCAGACATATATTAGGAAATTGCTACAGGGAGCACATACCTCAGCCGCCTGCAAATGTTATACATTTCACAGTCATTAGCTAATTGTAGGAAAGAATGCCCCACTGAGATATTTCTCCACACTTTTGTACTGAAAGCAAATTGCTTCCATAACTTTGCATACAGTTAGCCCAAAGTGATTGTGCATATCAAAACGTAAGCAAGGCTGGACATTTTAGGCATATGAATATTGTATAGTAACTATGTAGATACTATGCAAGAATTGTGACTTATTTATTTTTGCATATATAACAACACTTGAAACATGGTAATCTCCTTACCACAGCCCCTTCCCTTCTCCCCTCCCCCATTATATTTTTCTATTCCCTTTCCAGATTTGGTTTTATTCATGGTATATTTCTCTACTGGATACATACATAAATACATACATACACACACATATATATATTTACATATTTACTTACTCGTTTATGTCCATCTCTTTCCTGAAATAGAGGGCAGGGGCTTTTTCTTGCCTATTGTGGCTAAGTCTGCAGCACTGGTGCATAATAGATGCTCATATATTTTGCCTGAATGTATATTTCGCATGTGGCCGGTGCTCCCAAAGTGTATGTTCAGTGAGTGTGTGTTTAGATGAACAAGCACGAGCAAGCGTAGACCTAGGTAGAGTAGGTAAGAAAGTAGACATAAAAGTCCCAAAGGTTTTTGCAAGGCCAGGTAATGAGGATGGCATTCAGTCTAGGTGGTGTAGTTTTCAAAGAGTGCTCCTTCGTAGTGTCCTTGCTGGGCCTATGGTAAGGCATCCCCAATGAGTTGATCAAGATCTCTAGGTACTAGGACTCACCTGCCCTGTCTAGGTTATCTGCTGCTCCACTGTGCAGCTACACAATGCTCAGAGGTTGGGGTAGGAGAGGGGAGGGGGCAGCCTAGGGCATTTCTCTTGCTAGGTCAGCAGCTGGTACTTTCAGCATAATTTCCTCCTCACTGAGCATAAGACTGGGTATAATTTTACCTGCTTCTGAGAAAACGTTGGAGTTAAGTGATGTTCTGGCAAAAAACTCATGACCAAGGGAAAAGAGCAGTCCAAACAGGACTGGAAGACTGGGGGAGGATAGACAGGGCCTGGTAGAATCTCTCCGAGTTTGGAGTCAGATAGGCCTGGCTGTGAATCCCAAGTTGTCACTTACATTTTTCTGCCTTGGACCACATTTCTTAGATATTCCTTATTCCCCTGTCTCCTCATCTGTGGAATGAGATAATAGTACTCACTAACAAGTTTGGTTGAAGATAAAAGGACATAATGCATTGAAAGCATCATGCATGTATCGAGTTTCAAAAAATTGCAATTTTCAGGAGGAAGAAAGCAAAGAGGAGAGGAAGGAAGGAGGGCGAAAGGGAAAGATGAGGAGAAAATGAAGACAAAGTTGGTCACAATGGGGAATGGAAAATGGTCCCCATACCTGTTTAGGGCCTGTGAAGCACAGGCACATAAATGTACAGACAGCTGCTTAATCTCATGTTTGCATGAGGGAATTTGCTGGGAAGGAAGCGGGGCTTTCGTGAAACAAGATCCATGTGAAAATCACAGGCACATAGGACATCACTCATAAAGCCACCAATGTCTAGTTACCCCACATCTCCTCATATTTCCTGTTCCTGCTGCAGAGAGGAGAGTTTGAGTGGATGGGGAGGGCCTGGGGTCAAGTCCTGGCTTGGATGACTCTGGGTAAATCACAGCTTTTGTTGGTAATTGAGACAATGGTCTCACTTCCTAGAGGCATGATGAAAATTCATGCAGATGCTTTATGTTTTTTAAAATAGTCATCCTAGCCAGGTGCAGTGGCTCAGGCCTGCAATCCGAGCACTTTGAAAGGCTGAAGTGAGAGGATTGTTTGAGCCCAGGAGTTCAAGACCAGCTTGGGCAACACAGTAAAACCCCACGTCTACAAAAAGTTAAAAAAGAAAAATAGCTAGGCATGGTGGCATGTGCCTATAGTTCCAGCTACTCAGGAGGCTGAGGTGGGAGAATTATTTGAGTCTGGGATGTCAAGGCTGCAGTGAACCATGATCACGCTACTGTACTCCAACCTACGTGACAGAGGGAGACCCTGTCTCAGAAAAGAAAAAATAGAAATCATCCTTGGGCATCTGTAAGTTGAAGTCACACTTTATTTTGAATTGCTTTCCTTTGGTTTTTAAAAATATTGCAGCTGAGATAGCATGTCATTATGTTGAAAATAAGCATAGTCAGGTTTTATTATCATGAATTTCATTTCAAAATAAAAGGGAGCTTTACAAAATATTGGCTATGAAAATGGGGCATCGACTCAGGGTGAGAACCTGTGTGTTAAAAACATGCCTCATCTCTAAGACCTCATCCAGGTCTAACATTCCAGAATCCCAGGCAGCAGCCTTCAGAGCTCAAGTCTTCCCCTCTCGCTGATCCTCAACCGACCCATGTCCCCCTGGTTTCCACTTACGGCTCAGGAAAGGACGCATCTCAAGGATCCTGGGAGCGGAGGTGACCAGGCACAAGGGTCTCAGCAAATGTCTCCAGACTAGAGTCATCTCTCCTGCTCAGGAAGCAAACCCCCATGGAAGTAGGTTGGAGGTCGGGCTCTAACTGCTCACTATCCTTGCTGGACTTTGAGATTAAGATGGGGAGGAGGCGCTAAAAGGGGAATCCTGGAGTGGTGACTGTCCATGGCTTCAGGCAAGCCCCAGAGCTCTCTATTGCTAGTAACAGTGCCTTCAAGCGGGGAGAAAAAGAGAGTGAGGAAAAGCAGTAGAGAGAGAGTGAAAGTAGGAGGGACAGAGAGAAGAGGAGAGAAAAGAAAGGAAAAGAAGAGAACAGAAGGGAAGAGGAAAGAAAGCAGGCAGATAAAGCAAAGGTCATCTGACGAGTTCTGTTAGTTTAGTATTCCATCGGGGTTTCATCTGGGTACACTTTTCTCTGCAGGAGGGTGGTGCTGGGTGTGGGAGAAGGATCAGGACATGGTTGAAGGGGTCAGAGACTGAGAAATGAGAGATGTGACTAAGAGAGCAAAAAGGAGGATATGCATGAAGTGAATGAACAAATAAATTGGTTTTGGGGGTCTTAGAGAAAGAGAGGAGAAAACAATGGGGAAGGAGCCATTCCAAAGAAATCAGAGAGTACCTAATAACTAGGTAAGGTTCTGGACAGCTGTGGATCCTCTTATGTGTCTGAGGAAGGCAAAAGGTTGAGAGCTGAGGAGTTAATGTGCCTTATTTTCATTATTTCTTAAATTCCCATTTATCCCACTCCAGCCTCCCCCCTACCTTCAATCCCCATAAGCAACTATTTAGCGGGTTTACATATATCCTTTTCTTGGCACACATGCTTGTAGAATGTGTATCGTTTAAGGTGAATGCAGTTTTAATTTATATCAATATGTGTAATGTGTGTCTTTTTTTCTTTTCAGTTAGATCCATGTTTTTAAGATCCAATCAGGTTGTGAAGGGTACATCTCTTCCAGGTTTCCCACTGCTTCAGAATGGGGGGCCACGTGCTCTACATGGCAGTGCCCAAGGGGGACAGTGACAAAGTTGATTGCAACTAGAGGGTCGAGGGAGTGGGGATGGGTAGATATCATTAATCTTGGATCACGCTGTAGGGGAGACAACTGACTTGGCCACATCCTTCACAAACACCTGCATAACAACTGTTGACTCTGAATGCCCGTGGGAGGTGAAGGTGTTGGGTAAGCACAGGGAGTATGTTATATTCAGTATAATTGTCCTTTTTTTTGTGTGGGTTTCCAGCTCCCAGTCAATTCTACTTTGGGGGCAGTAGGGAGTGATCATATGAGCTGGCTGGTCATGTGCTGCAGGAGTAATCCAAGTCAGTGAGGCCAGTGGCCACACAGCATCTCCCTGGGGTGCACAGTCTGTCCTGTGGTTGGACAGAGGGGAGAAAATGTTGAGTTCCTGAAGTCTGGTATATGCTCTTCAGCTCTACTGGACTGTGGTCAGTTTTGCCTTTGTGAACACCGCAGGCTGCAGTCTTCCTTGACTTGAGATTTTTCTTGGGCTGTAAGATTTGAGATTTTTATAGTGAGAGACACCCAACATCAAGGGGTCACCAAGAGTGGGGCAGAAAAACAGTACATTTTGAATAACTTCTAGAGGGAAAGTGGGAGGTTATACTTCTTTTGTTTAAAAAGAAAATAAATTGTTCCGATTACCATAATATGTACTTTTGTTAAACAAAGTCAAGCCTAGAAAAGAATAAAGAAGAAAGAAAAAGATCACAACAAACCTGACCATTATATTTTAGTAAATTTCCTTTCAGAAATCTTTCTCTACGTGTGTATATCTGTGTATGCACATGCTGTTTCAGAAACTGAAAGTCTTCATATTTTTTATTTAATAAGTTCCTTTTGATGGATAGCTATATTTTCTCCAGCATCCTAGGACAGAGAATTTTCCGCACTTGACTGATTATATACATATATATATATATATTTTTTTTTGGGGGGATGGAGTTTCACTCTTGTTGCCCAGGCTGGAGTGCAACGGCATGATCTTGGCTCACCGCAACCTCTGCCTCCCAGGTTCAAGCAATTCTCCTGCCTCAGCCTCCCAAGTAGCTGGGATTATAGCTATTCCACGCCCGGTTAATTTTGTGTTTTTAGTAGAGACGGGGTTTCTCCATGTTGAGGCTGGTCTCAAACTCCTGACCTCAGGTGACCTGCCTGCCTTGGCATCCCAAAATGCTGGGATTACAGGCATGAGCCACTGCTCCCGGCCAGACAAAACTATATTCTAAGATGTTTGTTCTTTTGAACTCTGTAGAATTACATGATATCCACAAAATCTGAAAACTGGGATGAGGAGGAAACTTAGATTGCCTCTAGAGCTTCATTCTCAGCCTAGGAATCATTTGGAATATTAATCCAAGATCCTACCCTACCTTCACAGATAAAACTCCAATTAAACAGCTATTTCTGAGTTATAAGCGACACCTGCTGAGTCTCTCTGTTCTCTCTCCTTTGAGCAGATCAGGTATAATTTTCTCTATTTTACATAAAACTAGAGAAGATGAAGAACTATCTCAGTTTGCACAAATGGTAAATAGGAGGGGAGAAGACTTTCATCAGGTAGGAAAATATAGAAATTTCTCCTTGAAAAAAATGCTTCACAAGTGGGGAAACTTGGAAATTCTGTTGTCATGTTAGGAATTATTGGGGAGGATTTTTGCACAGAGGTTCACCAATGATTTATCAGTTAAGTCCTGAGTGTAACTGAACTTTGCTCTGCTCCAGGCCTTCTGTCAATAACAGAGTCCAGTAAGTCTCTGAAGATAATTAACAGCTTTTCCAAAGTAATCCTTTCCCTCTCTCAACTCGTTTAGGAGTTGTGAAATTGAAGGAAAGGAAAATTGTTTTGGAAGGATTTCAGATAAATGTAGACAGTTTACATGAAACTTCATATTACAGGTGTTCCATTTCACAGTTAACGGACTATGAAGAATGCTGTGTGCAGGGTGTTCAGACTGAGGTGCAGAGATTAGCAGGTGTGTAAGAAGAGAATAACTGCATAAAGATGTGGCTCAGTAACCCTTAGAATTTCATGGAAAACTGATTTTCTTTTTTTTTCCTTTTTTTTTTTTTTGAGACGGAGTCTCGCTCTGTCGCCCAGGCTGGAGTGCAGTGGCGCGATCCTGGCTCACTGCAAGTTCCGC